GTGGTGCCTGAGCACAGTCTGTTCAGCGCCTTCCAAGTCACCCAGTTTTCTGTGTGCCCAGGAGGGAATCTCTCATTTGGTATTCGCCATCGATTGAGGTTCCGGGTTTGAGCTTGCCATTTTTGGACTGTTGCTTGCTGAGGTGTTCCAGCGAGTGTTGATCTTAGAAAACTATTTCTTGATTTAAGTTGTTGGTGTGCTGGCTGATACCCAACCAGGGGGTGGGCTGGAGATGTCACTTCCTTGGTCCTTTCACTATTGGTTGCTACTTCCCGGTGTCAGGTGGTAATAAACAATGTAATTTCTCCAGTGGTGTAAGCACAGGCACCCCGTGATAATGCCGCATGTCTCATTAAGAGCCACATCCACTATTTTAGCATGGTGAGATGTGTTTCAAACTGGGTATGCACACTCATCAGCAGAGTAGCATAGCGCAAGGGCAGATGTCTTCACTGTATCTGGTTGTGATCCCCAGATTGTGCCAGTCAGCTTTCGTATGATATTGTTTCTAGCGCCCACTTCATGCTTGATATTCAGGCAATGCTTCTTGTAGGTCAGAGCACGGTCCAGAGTAACTCCCAGGTGTTTGGGTGTGCTGCAATGCTCCAGTGGGATTCTTTCCCAGGTAATCCTCAGAGCTCGGGATGCTTGTCTGTTCTTAAACACATGCCTGGGTTTCAGATGGATTAGGGATCAGCTGGTTTTCCCTGTAATAGGCAGTAAGAGCACCTAGAGCTTCGGAGAGCTTCTGTTCAACCATCTATTGCTAGAGTAAGCAACATGTAAAAGATGTGCTTCTGGAAAGCTTTTAATTAGTATTAATGAGCAGTTAGCAGTAAAGCAATAAAAGATTAACAGTATAGCCACACTGTAAAAAAAGTTGGTTTTTATTGTATATGTGTTTTTAATGTTTTAACTTGTGAATTTTATGTTTAATTGTTCATATTGTGTGTATACGGAGAAAGGCAGGGTAGAAATATCTTAAATAATAATATCTTCAATGCCTGCACAACATTGACAGCTATTTCCACATGCTCATCATGTGATGTGAATTGGACTAAACATAGATTTTTGTGTACCCAACATTTATGTGTACAGCACAATTGGTCTAGAAATTATGTTGAAGAGAATAGGATATGTCTGTACTGCCTATTTAGTATTCCAAGCAGAATAAGGCCTTTTGAAAATAATTGACTCATTAAGAAGAGCCAGTGTAGTGTTTTGAGCATTGTACTTCAGCTCTGGAGACCAGTGTTGAAATCCATGCTCAGCCATGGAAACATACTGGATGAAATTGGGCAAATCACATTATATTAGCCTCAGAGGAAGACAAAAACAAAAGAAATATCACCAAGAAACTCATTATAGGATTGCTATAAGTCAGAGGTCATTTGAATGCATCCCACAATAACAGCTATCACCAATTGCTACAAACCTAGCTTTTTGCAGCTTATGTGAAAGAAACAATAGACTGATAATTAGTAATAGACAAATTAATTCCTTCATTTAACTTAATTCATAAGATAGCTGTGCTGGTAAAATGGAAGGGCTGCATATTTACTATATGCTATGCTGCTTGCTGTTATTGCAAGAAAGATGGAATACATGCAAGCTCCACAAGGTTGTGAGGTATGCTTAAATCAGAGACGGTCCCCAATTTTTCAAAAACCACTCCCGTTAGCCCTCCCAACCCACTAAAGCAAAGAAACTTGGCTGAAAGTAGGAATAACATATAGTTTCAGTTTAAGCTATGCATTGGCATATTTTCAAAATAATGTCTATAGTGGCTCCTGGAATATGGTTTTTTGGATTATGTGATTTTAAATAATGGTTTTAAGCATTATGTTTTAATTATGTTATTTTAAAGTATATATTGCTTTATTTTATATGTATTAAGGCATCAAATTGTGCCTCTGTTGTGAGCCGCCTTGAGTCCCCTTCCTGGATGGGAAGCGTGGGATATAAGTGCGGCAAATAAATAATAATAGCTGGTTATTCCTGGCTTTAATGGAAAGTTCCAATACAGTTGGTTTGGAATTACGGAATTTGTTTTGATGTATTTGTTTGTGTCTTGGAGTTTGTTACTTAAGGTGTTTTGTTACGGATAGTGACTATGGCCTCAACTGAAAGAATACTCGGAAAACAGGGTGAGGGGACAGCAAAATATTTTTGATAATGTTTGAATCAAATGCCTTTGTTTTAGTTATGATTTTATGTTGTTTATCTTTCCCCTTTCCTATGACTTGGTATTTTAAAGTATTTCCACTGTGCTTTAATATGCTAAATGTCTCTAAAGACCAAACTAGAAAATGTTACTGTTGCCTTTTATCTTTTAAATTCATTTTTGTTTTAATGTCTAAATTAAACAAAACAAAATACTTTCATAGTATTTTTCATTTATTAACCAAGACATTTAATGACATAATAGTAAAGGAAAGGACATGTGTTCAAAAACACACTTCTCCACAACATTTGTGAATGAAAGTGCATACAGGGTCTTATTGAGTTGTGTCATATTCTCACTGATGTTTTGTCAGGCTAGCTTACAAAAACTGACTAATGTAATCACATTTACAATAAAAGCTGTAAGTGGGCTGTCTTATTTTTCCCTATAAAAATAAAATACTTCGAATGTATAATATCTCTGTATTTGGGTTAGGGTGGGAGATTTGGGAGTTGTTTTTTACTTCAGTTTCCTCCCGCTTCTTTCTCTCCCTCCCAAAATGGAAAGGATATCTGCCAGACAGCAACACTGAAGTACTACTCTATCTTTATCTCTTGAATAAACCACTCTTAAGGGGAAACTATTTTTCTATTTGTAAATGACTTTTTGAACATCTTACCTCATAACAGTTTTCATAGACAAAATATCTATTAGTGATTTCGTGTAAGATATACTCTATCTCATAATGAAGCTGTTGTCTTGTAGCTTTCTTGAGTAAACAAAGAATGTTATGTTCAGTTGGGCCTGCAAGATAACTACAGAAAGCCTTGATCTAAGGTATTTTGCCAGTTCTTTAAGAGTCATACAGTTTTATCAATCATGTTAAATACATCAATACATTACCAGCCAATTTGGTGCTATGCTAGAGCTTTCACTAGAATACTGATATGCACATATCTACGTCCTGCCGTGTCTTATTTCTGTCATATTTTCTTTTAAGTCTTGACCCAAATCTGACCTTCCTTAGCTTGTTAGTGGTGTTCATTGCCTGTGATAGTGTGATGCGTTGCTCTTGTTTATTTATCCAACTTTCAGGAAAAGTGTAAGTATTTACCCTGAGAGCTGCATCAGTCTTGTTTGCCATGGGTATTTGTGTGTGTGTTTACAGTGCCTTCAGGTTGCCTGTTGACTTATGGCAACCCCATAAAAGTCACAAGGTTTTCTTAGGCAATAAGTTCTTAAAGGTATTTTTGCCAGTTCCTTCCTCTGAAATATAGGCTACTGTACCAGGCATTTGTTGACAAACTCCCACTCCCTAATGAGGGCTGCCTCATTATTATTATTATTATTATTATTATTATTATTATTATTATTGCCCCTCTTTTTTTACCTTCTAACATCAGGCGGTGTTTTGGCTTACCTGTTTGGGGTTACAATTGATCTTTTTTGAAGTGCAAAGACAAATTGGGAAGGGCAGTTGTGTGTCCTTAGACAATCAACAGACAAACATTGTAGAACTACAGTTGAGACCCTGTGTTTACAAGTGTAGGAAGTAATAGTCGTGTGATATCAACAAATGCTGTTGTACATAGTATGTGGTACAGTTCCAAATTGACTTGACATTGTAGCGACTTTTTAAAGGTAGAATTAATTACAACATTCTTTCTTTAATGTTTACATTACACTTAACTTTTGCATTAAACTCTGTGGGACAGGTATGTACATGCTGTTTATCCCCTCTGGGGAAACAGGATCTGATGATTGTTGTAGAAAGTATGGTATGCTTATTAAGTTCACCCACCCTTCACCTTGACATTATTGAATTCATGCTTGCTGCTTGGGGATTTGGCGGCGGTTTTTTCCAGGCACCTTGAGAGAGGAACAACCTCTGCTTGGAGGCTTCAGATGTGGGATTTGGCAGCTGTTGTGTGTTTGCATAAAGAGTAGAATGCAACCTTTATCCCATGGTATGGTGCTTGGCTGTTGCTTTGTGGAAAGCAAGTGCATACCTAGGAGATTCAGGCTGGATTACTGTGCACTTGCCAGAGATATATTCCCAAAACTGTGTTTGCTCAGAGGCAAGATCTCTGAGGTAGCATAGCATGGAGGGTCAAAAGTGATTAACTGCTCCTGTGGATACCAGCTATTGTTTATAGGATACCTGTCATCAGTTACTATTTTGTGGTTTTGAACCTATTTGGGATAGGAAGTTACTATAAATCAATCTTCTCTATTCCACCAAAATTTATTGCCCTCATTGTTGTAAAGTATCTTGTTTTTCATGAAATTTAGGCCCCTTCCACACAACTGAATAAAACCCCATATTATCTGTTTTGAACTGGGAAATATGGACTCAGATAACCCAGCTCAAAGTAGATATTGCGGGATTTTCTGCCTTGATATACTGGATTATATGCCTGTGTGGAAGGGCCCTTAGTGCTCATTCTACAATATACTCTGTTGGAACAGAAGCAAATTGGTTATAAAGCATGCCTTGGTAGCTCGTGTACACTGTGACAGAATATTTAGGAGCATTTGTGCACATGAGAAAGATACCTTTTTCAGATGTGTAATAATTACACTTGGAAGTTATTTCTCTTACAATTGAAGGATTGAGTAAGTTCAATGCTACACCTACCTCTAGTATTCTGCATCTTTATTATAAGAACTAGGAATTGAATGGATCATCTATTGTGGTTTTTTTGTTATTATTTTGACATTGAAACTCTGAAATAACACTAAATGCAGTTTCTGTAGTCCTAATATATTATTCAGAATCATTTCCAACTATCTGTTAGGAGTGTGTCACTGAAGCATCTCTTCTCTGTCCCTTCAGCTTTAAGGTGTTTGTGCTCTAATTGCAACGAAGCTAACTCCACCTGTGAAACAGATGGTGCCTGCATTGTCTCCATAACAAATGTGAATGGGTTGAAGCATCATGTCCGGGCTTGCATCCCTAAAGGAAAGCTGATTCCTGCTGGAAAACCCTTTTTTTGCCTGAGTTCAGAAGATGTGCGCAATACACACTGCTGCTACTTAGATTTCTGCAATAAAATTGATCTGATGGTACCCAGTGGTAAGTATGGTGATGAAACAAGGGTATTGTGTGCTTCCAAAAAACCTTCTGTTGTCTTTATAATAGTGCTGATATTAACCTCAATCCAGCATCAGTATTTCTGCAGTGTAATGTTCAATTAATAGCCAGATAATGTAATATTTGCTATTCTTGTTTATGTGTTTTCACTGAGAAGATTGCACGAATACCTAATTTTTATAGTCTTTACAATGGTGGCTTCAGCAGTCTCATTCAGGTATAAATCAGATATCAACAATCCTCATCTGCCTAAGTTTTGGTCAGATTTTCATCAGAAACATGTAGTCAGTAAAGATTTTTCAGTTCCAGCTGAGTACTATTAACTAAATGTGTGGAATTCCCTTTTAAACAAGTAATTTTTAAAAGGATTTGGATACTTCATTATTTACAATTGAATCCTCTGGAGGTAAGTGGCGAACTCTCTGTGTGTATGTATACACCTTCAAGTCACTTGTCAACTTGTCAATTTATGGTTAATTCCATAAATTTCAGAGGGCTTTCTTAGGCAAGGAATGCTCCTCCTTCCCTGGAAGGAGCTTTGCCAATTCCTTGCTATGAAATAGTCTACAGCACCTGATATTTAGACATTTCCCATCCAAGTTCTAACTAGAGCTGGCCCTGCTTAGTATCTTGTGTTAGGCAGGATTTGATACTTTTAGGGTATATTCACTTGGTATATTCATAATTTCTTCAGATTTTTCTAAGATGTTTTGTTTGATTAGATAATACTGGATTTATAGTCACAGTGCTAGTGCTGTATTGTTTAAATTTCATACATTTTTTTCACCTACCAAAATTTGATTTGAATTTTTCTTTGGAGCATGTCTGTGATGATATTCTGGCTGCATATTCACATGAATTACACTAGGTAACAAATTTGAAAAAAAAATCTTGTTCCTGGTTTGAAAGTGTTATTTCCTGTTTAATTGGGTGGTATTTACTTTGAAAGTAGTTGTTGTGGCTGCCATTTTTAACCTTTCATATACCATTTTTAACCTTTTGTGCAACCACAAAAACAACGTTTTACAGATTAATAAACTTAGGAAATGCCATTTATAACCCAGGAACAAAAATTGTGTTACATAATGTTATCAGGAGTATTTAGCATTACAAACACAGACAGATCATGTGGTATAGCCAAATAGCCTGCAGGTATGTAAGAGTTTATAGTGCTATTCATAACTTGGGCAGAAATACTTCCAAAACCCAGACTGGTATGTACTTATATATGGACATAAAAATAGCTTTGGCCTCCCCTAGTGGTTTTAAGTTTCATTACAACCTATTATTTTTTCATGCTAAACCAGGGCTTTTAAAACTTTTTCCATTTGCAACCCTTCTTCACCTGAATTTTTATGTGATCTATAGGTATCTAAAATATATAGGAAAAACCAACCATTTATTGATAACCAGCATTTGCAAGCCTTGCCAAACAGATTGATTTTCTTTTTGTTGAGTACGGTTGCATCTGAAGCACAGTTCACTAAACACCACACATTGTTGCTAAAAGATTTGTACAGATGGGGGGGCATTCAGAAACCTTTTACTGTTGCCAATTTTTGTGACCCCAACATTGAACTAAGGGACCCCATTTGGGGCTGTAACCCACAGTTTCAGATGCCGTGTTCAAGACAACCTGGCTACATAGCAAATATTAGAAAAAGGAAGATTGAAGGAAGACTGTGCAAGTCTGCAAGCAAGCAGTCTGCTTATCAGATATGGAATCAATAGCTTTACTTTTCATCAAGTAGACAATTTGATGAAAAGTGGAACTTCTGTATGCATTTGCTGCCTTCTGTAAGAAATTTTAACAGCAAAATCTACATCTAAAAATTTTGTTCCTGCCACACAATTCATGATAGTGCTTTTTTACAAAGGTAGGAAAATATTTAGAATTCAGATTTTTCAGTTGCTGTAAAATACACAATACTACAGTAATACAGCAGTGGGGAACTCTTGAATATAGGTGTTGCTGGAGAAATCAATTTAAAAGGTTGATAATAGAAGATACACTTTTTATTGGGTTAATCTATCATTTCTACATGAAGTGATAAACTACTTTGAACAAGAATCACATTAGTTTATTCTCTCAGTTGCATATATACTCAGTGTTGCACAGGTTTGCATTTCTTTTGAGGCTATTTCTTTTCTCCCTCCCTTAGCCCTCTCTCTTTTATTCTTCTTTTTCCTTGTTTTTGATCATACACCTTTCCCTCCCTCCCTCCCTCCCTTCCTTCCTTCCTTCCTTCCTTCCTTCCTTCCTTCCTTCCTTCCTTCCTTCCTTCCTTCCTTCCTTCCTCTCTTCCTTTCCCCCTTTCCTTTTTTGTCCACCATCCAGCCTTTCTCTTGGAAGTCATAGTCTCTGACCAAGGCACAGGCACATGTTTGTGTGTGCAAGTGCTCTCTCTCTCTCTCTCTCTCTCTCTCTCTCTCTCTCTCACACACACACACACACACACACACACACACACACACATATAGCCCTTCCAAAACAGAAATCTTTATTGAATTGCTCTCTTCCTTACAGGGTCAATGTCCCATCTGTGGTCTTCAGGGCTGTGTTGTAGCCTTCATAGTGCAGACATTTTTGTTTATCAGTAGCTAATATTTTCTATATACTGCTATTTTTACTCTTTGGGACTCTTACTCCAAAACAGTTGTAGTTGAAACCTGGAAATTATTTTAAGTTGGGTAATGAAGGATATGTGTGCTGAGTCTGGTCCAGATCCATCAAGCCATGTAACAATCTCTGTGGTACAAACAAAAATATAGCTTATTATAATGGCTTAGTTTTGATATAATCCTAAACCCTAACTTAAAGTTCTGAACATCGGCTTGCTCTCTTCCCCTATCCGGCATGGGTTTGTAAGTAGAAATGTCTACCTCCATGTTGAACTAATCAAAATTTCACCTGGGTCAGATGAAACAACAACCTGTGGTTACTTGAAAACAGAAGTGAATACCTCATCTATCCTTACAGTCATGTCAGAGGAGGGGAAAGCACAGGAGCTCAAGATGTATTCATATAGTCACTGTAAATTCTTGCCAGGCTTTTCCTTGTTCTCTGGTGTGTGTTATCAGACCTGTTTGGGACATTTCCATGTTAGTTTTGTATCTGAAACTGAAATAGTTGCTCTTTCTGTCTCTTTAAGGTCATCGAAAAGATGAAGATGAAACTTCTTCTGGATGGGGACCTGTGGAGCTGGTGGCTGTGATTGCAGGGCCAGTGTTCCTTGTTTTTGTCATTATGATTATAGTAGTTTCTGTCTTTCACCATCACCAACGAGTATATCACAATCGTCAGCGTTTGGACATGGAGGATCCATCTTGTGAGATGTGTCTCTCCAAGGACAAAACCCTGCAAGATTTAGTATATGATCTATCTACCTCTGGCTCTGGCTCAGGTACAAACATTACTGAACTAGGAGGCACAGCTCTAAAATCAGACCTATAAGATAACTGTAGGTTTCCATTAAATCAGCACTTTTAAATGCTGATATTTCAAAACTGTTTTTACTATGAGGGAATAGATATTTAAGCTATCACTAAGATGTTCTGTCTCCTTGTCTTCTCAGTTAATTGGTTGTATCTTACCAATGCCAATCATGAGAATAGTGTCTAAAATGAGCAATTATTTCCATTTCCCTCCTTTTGAAGGGGGTGGGTTAAGGAAAAGAAAAGAAGGATGTGTCACTCTTATACTTTATATGGGATGTACTAGCTATCCACATAGCATTCACCTTCAGAATATAGCTAAAAACAGTTTTGCATCAGCAACATCTGATGTGTGTTCTTACCGCAGTAAGAATTCCACCATTTTGATAATTTCTGATCATCGTATCATTTAATTCATTTAATAATTTTATAACTGCCATATTTGTACCCAGCGGTACAAATGGGGCTAAGGTATAACAAGCATATCTTTTCTGATGTATAACTACATGAAACAAGATTTAATTTATACATTTCCTGGTCTTCCACTCTGTTACCTGTTACACATAGAATCTGTTAATGACTTCTTTGAATAACACACTGATTGACTAGGAGTGCTGGAGACTTTGCCATTATGCCTAACTTTTCTACTGGATTTTTTTCAACATTCCCCCCTTTTACAGCATATTTATATTCAGTTTAAAATATAGGACTATTAATCACAGTAGTCAGGGCCTACCTTGCGCATCAGACAACTTGCTTTGACAACACATTTTTGGTGTCATTACTACTCTTGCTGTTGATGTGGATTCCATACGCTGTGGGTCTGTAGGAGAGAATTGCCTAATTATCAAAGCTTTACAGACTCCTCAGTGATTTGTATTGATTTTATCTTTCTTATATCTTTTTGTAACTTACATCTTTTGCTGGCAGGTTTGCCCCTCTTTGTCCAGCGCACTGTGGCTCGAACAATAGTCTTGCAAGAAATCATTGGCAAAGGTCGTTTTGGAGAAGTATGGCGTGGTCGGTGGCGTGGTGGTGATGTAGCTGTGAAAATCTTCTCTTCACGAGAAGAGCGTTCCTGGTTCAGGGAAGCAGAGATCTACCAGACTGTTATGTTGCGCCATGAGAATATCTTGGGGTTTATTGCTGCAGACAACAAAGGTATCATACTACTTCTGTGTTATAGTAAATAGATTGCAAGTATCTTTTAATCCTAGTGTGTGATGTTCATATGGATGAAACATCTAGTGTTGACTGGTTTGGTTCAGCATTTGTAGTGTTCATTAGCATTTACCTGCTAGAAGACAATGTGGATTTTTTCAGACAGTGGGTGACCTTAGACAGTGGGGATTTATGTCACTATGTCATTGTTTCTGTCGCTGTATATATTGCGATTCTTACAAGGAGTCAGAAAATACTTCTGTCATTCCCACATTGTGCAAAGATTTTGTTTGTTGTTCCAGTTTATCCCAGAGCAATTTGGGAGAGATTGCAGTATGTGTATGTGTTCCTGTCAGTGACCACATGGATAAATCCAACTATATTTGAAACACTGTACTTCCCTTACTTAATTTTAACATTTTTTTCTTTAACTATAATAACTCAAACTGAGAAAAAGGCAGGATGTTGATACCATCGTTGGTTTTCCCACTTTTCACAATACTTGACAATCTGGATCTGCCCAGTGTTGATAAGAGGCCAGCTTTGGTAGCAATAAAACCTCACAGTAATTCTGGCAGTAGAATTAAAAGAGGAAAAACAAGGAATTAGCAGTGTTCTCCCTTACAAGAAGTGTGCTGTTGCATGCTGACCACTTGCTTTATATTGCAGCCTGGGAACCTAAGGAAACAGGAGAAAGTAAACAATTGTGTCACCCCCAAATAGTCACTTTCTCTTCTGTGGTTTGTTTTTCTCCCTATATGCTTCTATGGAGTGTATTCTGGAAGTACTAGAAGAGCTGGGTTTTGTAAATTAATTTGATATAACTATCAAGGAGGGAGTGAAGAGAACAGCTATGAGGTTAGATTACTCAAGGACAGACCAGTTCAGTAGAGCATTTGAAATGGGAAAAGAGAGTCTCATTCTGTCCTCTCTCCAGGGACATCTTTGCCTTTGGGGAAACACAACTATCACAGCTAAAAGTGGTAATTAATATATTACATTTGTATTCTGAGGTCTTGGAATGGTAAAAGGACTCTTCTGTCTGAAACTAGTGACAAAAAGATAGTAACGACTCACATAAGCACCCATTTAAAACCGTGCTTTTCTTAAGAATCATCATAAAGCTCTGCCTGAGGGTATTTACTACTATCCAATAACTTCATCATCATGCCCCATATCCCTAGTGATGGAAGCTACTGATGTCACATTTCTCATTTCCTTCCAGTGTGAGTGCTTGTTGGCTGGAACAGCTTTTTAACCCTTTTATGTCTAAGGTCAGATAGACTTGAATGGTTTCGTTTATTGCACATAAACACACACATAAAAGTCTTGGCAGAGATCTTGTGGAAGTATTACTGTTGTAGAATTATTTCCTCAGCCTTGGAAACAACAGAGAATAGTAGTAGTCACAGGGAGTATCTTTGGCAGGCAGGAAAGAAGGAGAAATGACTGTGCTTGGTCAGATATGGAAATTTCCAAGAAGTTTAGACTGTCCATTTTTGTACTATCATCAGCCACTTTTTACATTAGCTAAACTAAGAAGACTTTTAAATTACTTGAGTTTTAAACTACACTGATGTTATTTTGAAATTACACGTTTTATATATGAAAAAGCCCAAATAATATTTATCAAAACATAGGTCTGCTATTTTTGGCAAATCTGGTAACTTGACAACAGAGCTACTGAAATGGGTAGATGTGATCTTTGATCTTTTGTTTATCATCTTCTTACTCTGTAAGTAGACCTGGGGTCCATAATATGTTTTCCCAACTTTAGCTTATACACTCAGTTTTTCTCCTGGTTTCCTTTTTGCTGAGCAATGGCTTTCCCATTATTTAATCCACTTTGGCTAGAAATAAACTTCTTAACCCAACTAATGCATTTCTCTACAAGTTAAAATAGCAGGAGAAAATAACTACACTTTATAGAGCATTCTAAACCCCCCATAAAACCTGCGTAAAGCAACATCAGACTATTTTATAACATTGTTGTAGCCACAAAATCTCAGCCACAACCCAGTCTTCTGTAATATGGTTAGAATAGTATGGATTTTACACCAAAACTAAAATCTTATTTACATTTAGATATAACTGGTTCTGCTGTTGCTGTATTTTTCCAGGGTGTCCAAATTATGTAAGACAATATAAACAAAAACTTTAGGTCAGAGTTGCCTATTGAGCTAAGAGATTCTTCACCAGAAAAGTGCAAAGTTCAGATCAGGCAGCTGGAGTTTCAGTATTAATGATCTCAAAATTATTGTTAACTTATTGCTGAACAACTGGTTCTGTTTTTGTGTCTTTATGCTACAATAAATTAATTCACTTAATTGTGTTTGAGCAGTAATCCCCCCCCCCCAATAAAAAAAAATAATACTATAGTAGAGTACTTCATTTTGGAATTGTTCACACTGCAGAAGTAAAATAATAATGTATATGACAGAAATACACTATGCTTCACTACCATGCAGTGTTTTTTGTTGCTATGTAAGTTGGACAACATCACAGTTCTGCCCATGTATTCGATATTCCTGGAATAGTTGCCATTAGTTTTGAAAACAAACAAGCAACTAAAATGAAGACTAAAACAGACACCAGTGTCTGATGTAAAAAGTGTTGGGACTAATCTCTGTTGCTATCTTTTGTACAATATTACCCCACCACCACCACCCACCGACCCAAGCTATATGTTGCCCACAGTAATTCCAGTTTGTTTCATGGCAAGCTAGCAACAATTAATGGCAGATACATTTTCCTGGGAGGTGAGAGGACGGTATTGCTGGGTCAGAGATCTATAAAATTCTTTAGGTTGTTTAAGCCTACTGGAAGGACTAAACTGGAGCAGGAAATGAAAGTACAGCAACATTACTGGTAGCAAATGGTGCAGCATAAGCCTTTGCTAATGCAGTTAAACTAAATATATCTTTCTCTGGTGTATTTTTTGCTGCTTACAGGATCTGCTGTTCATAAATGTGTTCTGGAACCAGTATGCCTACAGTTAATGCGCCCCATTTTAACAGTCCTTTACTTGTCTTGTCAACAGATAATGGCACTTGGACTCAATTGTGGTTGGTCTCTGATTACCATGAGCATGGCTCTCTATTTGATTACCTCAACCGATATACTGTAAATATTGAGGGGATGATTAAATTGGCTCTGTCTGCTGCCAGTGGACTAGCACATCTGCACATGGAGATTGTTGGGACCCAAGGTAAGAAACAGTTTCGATAGATAAAGTTTTTGTGATGATCGACAAATTCGAGCAGAATAATTTCAGAAGAAGAAGATATACAAAGAAGCTGAAAAAATAGTTAACAGCCAGGAATAAATATTAGAATCACCCCTAGTTCAAGAATCTGATTCATAAAATGACATTAGACTATAGTTCCTGCAATGGGGTAGTCTAAAATAACCAGGATTATTGTACCAAAGAAGGGGGAACTGAAGGGAGAGCAGATGGTTCAAATACTTCTTAAGAAGTGAGGAGGAGTATATACCAAGTAGGCAACAGTCTTAACAAGAACAGACTGATTGTTGAGATCCTGATCAGCTTGTGTTGATGTTAAAAGAAGTGCAGTGAATTTGATAAAAAGCTTTCTTTTCTCTTCAGGATTATCAATTTGGCTCTTTAAAGCTGATTGTGCTAGTGGCAGTTTTAGTGCTACCTCCTCCTTTCTTTGCTTTATTTTTGTCCAATAGTTTGTGAATGAGTTCTCTTTCTTTATGGTTTGTTAGGAAAGCCTGGAATTGCGCACCGAGACTTGAAATCCAAGAATATATTAGTGAAGAAAAACGGAACTTGTGCCATTGCAGATCTAGGTCTAGCTGTCCGCCATGACTCTGTTACTGATACAATTGACATCGCTCCCAATCAGAGGGTTGGAACGAAACGGTAAGGAAATAGCAAATGACCTTATCTGGACATCAAAAAAGACACGATTTGTTGTTGTTGCAAACATTGCTGTCTCCTTTTCTTTGTCCCTTGGCTATCTAATATTGAGGATCTATGTTTCTGTTGATAAGCACTTGCTTTCTGTTTTCTAATTAACTTTGACAACATTCAATGTTAGAGTTGAATATTTGATCAAGAAAAAATAGATTTGAAAAATATTTTAAAGTGTTAATTTGTTTAGAACTACTGTTAAGGCATCTTAACCATCAACAGGTTTGATAGTAATACTAGACACAAAAACAAATTAGATAACCAATATTGGGAAACTAATACATTTGTAAATATTTTATTTATTTATTTATTTATTATTTGAACTTATATGCCGCCACTCCCCTGGGGCTCGGAGCGGCTTACAAGAATGGCTAAAATCTAACAAAATTTAAAAGCAAAATATTGTTAATTGTAATAATCTGGTTTTAGATGTCCATCTAATGTAACAGTTCAATGGCTGTGTCTTTATTTGGACTCCATAGAAAGAGAACTTGCACCTCCTTTAAATATTTTTTCCAAATAAATATATTAAAATAGATTATTTTGGCTTTCCCGGAATCTCTGTTATATAGCGTCTAAATAGTGTCCTGTTTTTTACCTCATTTAATTTCTTTGTTCTTCAGTAGTTGCTTTTCTAGAACTGTGCCTAGTATTTATATTAGAGCGTTACAAGCAGTAAAATACAGGATAATGCCATGGGCAGTGGCTTTTTCCAAGCATGATTCATTTTGCTCCTCTTCATAATTGGAGATGTCTATCGGGAGCTATATGAAAAGTTTTGCTGATTCTCAGTATCATAATGCAGTTAAAATTGCATAATGAGACTGCATTATATAGCAGTGTAGATGGGGCTGCAGTGATTAACCGTTGCTATAGAGTTGCTCTGGATGATCCAGAGATTCCTTGAGAGTTCTGTCCATTAAAATAGTAGATTTTTTAAATGGTAGTTTTTCCACTTTTGTGGTTGTCTTGTGGCCCTAATCCCAGTGAATGTGGAGGGCTGACTGTAATTAATTTTGAGATGAACAGATTTCTCTCAAACGAACGACATTTTCACAAGAGTTGCAGAGTCGTGTTTCAGCAGGTATGTTCTACAATATACATATGTCTAACACCATAGTATGCCTAAATCATCTCACTCAAAATAGGTGACTTGGCAATGATGTACGAGGTATATATATCTAGAGAGAGAGAGAGTTTGTGTGTGTGTATTTGTGAGCATGTCCCCTGTAAACTCCATGACATTTAATCTGGTTGTTCTTTTTTGTTTGTTTGTTTCAGTTACATGGCTCCTGAGGTTCTTGATGAAACTATAAACATGAAGCATTTTGATTCGTTTAAATGTGCTGATATCTATGCCCTGGGCCTAGTTTACTGGGAAATTGCTCGCAGATGTAACTCAGGAGGTAACAGATTTTAAAAAATGTTTTCATAGAAATTAGGAGAATTTCCATTTTGTTTCAAGTGGTAGCATACAGCAGTCTCATTGAAATACATGAAAAAAGGAAGTGACTTAATATTAAAGTAAGCTAACAATGTGATGGGAGGAGTGGGAAACTGTGCTTATTTATTCTCGGGATGGCATGAGAGGGAGCAATCCACAACTGGCAGGAATTTACATTCCTTTCTGTTACATCCATTAGGATCCTTTGCTGCTTTTCCATCCAGTTTTTATTTTCCTGCCTGTCAACCCAGATGCAGTCACACTGCTTCTCTAGAAAATATAGAAATAAATAGATATTAGACAGGAAAAAGTAGTGAAATAACACTGAAAATGGTAAAATAAAAACATTTATTCAAGTCTCTGTGATGACTGAGAAGCTAGATGAGGGATAGCAGAAAATCAATAAGCCAGCTACTCAGATGACTACAATAGAGCAAATCTCTGGGGCTGAGGAAAACGGGAGCTGAGAAAGCACAGGAGACAAAGTCTAAAAGTGGCAAAGAAAAGGAAAAAAAGAAAGGGGAATAATAAACAAAATTTAAATAAATGCTAAAGGCAAAGGAAATTGCCTAATTGCACATACTGGAGAAAAGTGCCATAAGTGCAATGAGTTCTCCAGCACAAAGTCTTCAAAAGCGTCTCAGGCAGGCAAAATAATGGCAACATGATCCTTGCTGATTTCAGAGAACACTGTTCCATTGCATCAGCATTTCTATCAGATTCTCCATAATGGGTTTGGTTGGAATGATTGGCCTTTGTTCTGTGGTAGAGCTCTGGTTCTGGGTGAGCTTTCAGTGGTTGCCTGTGTTCCTTTAGGTGCACTGATTCATCAATAAAATATTCAAAATCTCTTGACATCTCCGTGTGACCACAATACTCGGCATGAAGCAAGTAGCAATTTGTATATCATTTTGCTTGGCTAGTGGTGAAGATTATACATTTAGATTTCTTTTCTCTTGCAGGCTTTTGTTGTGCACTGGAAATAATTTGATTGTTTTAATTGTGTGAAAGATATGTGATACAGGTTGTGGGGTGCTATGGGGATGGTTGCGTCTTTTGCTCAGTGAACTCCTTGTGCAAAACTGGATGAAGAGGATGGAAAAGAAGTGGGCAAGGCATTTTTTTTTAGTTTTGTCCTTTTTAAAATTGAATCAATGTGCTGAGACGATCAGCTAATTGATTTTTTGTTGAAGACCAGATTTAATGATGCCATCCTCCCAAGTTTGTAATGCTATTGCATGCAGTTGTTTCAGCCTGAAGTATGGGGCTTCTGTGTCTGTGGAAATTAGAAGTAGATAAAATAACATTCTGACTTTCGTTTCTCTTTTTAGGTATCCATGAAGAATATCAGCTACCATACTACGACCTTGTGCCCTCTGACCCTTCCATCGAAGAAATGAGGAAGGTTGTATGTGACCAGAAGCTGCGGCCCAACATTCCCAATTGGTGGCAGAGTTATGAGGTATTCTTGAACACTAAAAACAGAAGAATAACTTTTGCACACAAAATGTTGCTTTTTATAAAGCAGATGTCTCGTTTAGTTCAGGCATGAAAGGAGAACTCAAACACGATAATCCTGATGGTAGATGGCTCCTCAGAGGGGGTAAAAGTGCTTTCTTGTTAGTGAAAGGGGGCTTCTGGGTGGTTTGTGGTAATCATTAGGTAAGCCATATATTATTTCTGCAACAAATCTGTATTACAGCTCTCCACTGGGCTGTTGAGAAAAACGGGTGTATTACACTGACAAGAACAGGAGCTACCTGTAGAAGGCAGAGCTTACAAGTGCTTACAAGTTACAAATGTTGGATTGTTCTATTTCATAACTATCAAATTGTAACTTTGGTTTCATTTCAAATATGATTATCAAGTATTAGGATTCTTGTTTAAATCAGACTTTTTTAGCCCAGGCAGGAGAATAAATGTAAGTACAACAGTTCTCTGAACTCTCAGTCAACACCCAGATTCTAATTTAGTTTGCAATTTCATATTAATAATTAAGTGGAATGTGCTGCTTTAGAGCATGATGGAGTCTCCTTCTCTAGAGGTTTTTAAGCAAAGACTGGATGGCCATCTGTTAGGAGTGCTTTGATTCTGTGGTCCTGCATAGCAGAAGGGGGTTGGACTGGATGGCCCTTGAGGTCTCTTCCAATTTTTATGATTCATTTGTTTCTATGAAATGTTTTGATGGCAGGCTAAAATTTATCTCAGCGTGTGGAGGAACACTAGCTTGACCATCTTGCTATTTTATTTAGGCTAATGAATAAGATTTGAAAACAGTACATTAAATTAGTGATGTTCACAGTGCCATTACAGTATGTCTAAGATTTTTTAGAATTACATCTAGTTGGAGAGTGGTCTAATATGGATTGATTGCACCAATAGGCTTAGTCTCACGGGGCTTTAGTCCTTGTAGTGAAGGAAAGCCAGTTAATACAGATGGGTTCTCTTATCTTGTGTTCCAGTAAGTGGATAAAATGATGGAAAGTGCTGTTCTCAGTGGTAAAGAAATATCCTTTCTCTTATAATAAACTAGTGAGGTCACATTTGAAGACACTTCTTTCTGGGCTGTGTTTTATGCAAATACGTAGACTGTGTCATCATAGTATACACAGTCGGTTGCCTGAAAAGTAAAAAGGCAACTGGTTGTGCTATGTGGCAGAAAAATCCCTGACCCTACCTCTCTCTTCTTAGGCTTTGCGTGTAATGGGGAAAATGATGCGAGAGTGCTGGTATGCAAATGGGGCTGCACGGTTAACAGCCTTGCGCATCAAGAAAACTCTTTCACAGCTCAGCATCCAAGAAGATGTGAAAATCTAGTCTGCACGCCCCATCCAGAGGAAACTGCACAAAAGCTGCCATGCTGGGACTGATATGCGGTGAAGGAGGCCTACCTCGTATTTCTGTACAGCCTGCTGCTATCAACTGGACAATGTGGTTTGCAGATGGTTAGGTGTGGAGGTTGGACTTCATAGACTATGTTCTGCTCCTGCTTCAGGAGTGAACTGCATTTTTTAAAAATCCCCTCCTGAGCGTGTTAAGAGAGGGATGTATAGAGGGGTGTTGGCCACAAACTGCAACCTTTGTTTCTCTGGCGGAAATCCCTGTAAATTCTAGTGACATGCTGGTTGGGGAAATCCTTCTAGCTTGGGAGAGGAAATGACTTCTGTATGCTCTGAAATGTGTGTGTGAGAGGGGGTGAGGTTCTTAAGGACGGGACATGTGCACACAAATCTTGTGTGCACCCTGCCCATCCGTACACGTGAAGTGCTTGGCCCTTTTCTAGCTTGACAGATCAGAAGCCGGCGCAACCATTAGTTCTCAATGATGTGTGCATGTGCAAAGGTGCGTGTCCCTGTGCCTCCTAGGTATGTATTGTGCCCGCTTGTGCTCCTGTGCATGTGAAAAGTGTAGTGACCCCTTGTGATGTGCAGGTGCTCTTGTCCTCTTTGTCCACTAGTTGAACATTAGCCATCTGTCGCCTCACCAGGGAGGGAGAGGGGTATGTCCTGCAAGTGGTTAGACTGACCAGGGCGCGACACCCGTTGTCTCACTGCCATTCCTCCCCTCCTTTGCAATGCAGAGAAAAGATGTTTCGTTGCAAGGTTCCCTTGGTGTGGTAATGCCAGGCAGCAGTCGTTATCTGGGAGACAGAGCAACCTGCAGAAAGACTGAAATCGGTGCTGTTCTCACTGTAAAGGAAATAACGCTAAGGAAGGATGGGAAAGAGAAACTGACCTGATAGGATCATTGCCCTTCCATTTCTCAAGGTGCCTTTGGCAGAGTGACTTTAGCATTTAGAATTACTCAAGAGAGTGAAACCAATATGGGGAGACACGTTTTCGGAGACTTTCTGGCAAGATTGGTTCATTGAGGAATAATGACTGTAAAACATTTTGTGTGTGTGTGTGTGTAAATATATACATATATATATACATATATATATGGTCTCCCATATTCTGGGAGCGACCATTGAGTCACTTGGGGAGGAGGGCAGGGAAACGTTGGGAAAAAGATTAACTGCATGCATTTTGTTTCAGATAAATGATCAGGGTGTACAGTAGTAAGACTGATTTGGCTGTTAGGTTTGTGTTAGAAACAGCCCAAGACTGTATTACCGTGGAAATAATGCATTAAAACTCCATTATATATGGATTGGGTTGGGTATTTGTGGTAGATAACTCCTGAAGCCATAACTTTTAACTGGAGTGATTTGATTAATTTTATTTAATTGTTATTTTAATAGGCGGGTCTGGATTTTAACTTTTTTTACTATTCTTTATAAGAGAAGTAAAATGGATAATTACCTCTCATTCTGTTTATAAAGAAATCACTGCAAAAATCTGAAAAAATGCATACAGCTCAATTTTACACTGGAACTGTTTCTATTGAAATTGTGAGCCCTGATGTCTGAGAGGAGGTGTCTCCACTCCACGTCAGGCTATTTTTAAGAATATATAGCATTCTGTGTTTGCCGTCTGTGTTCATATGGATGTTTGTCTTAGTGTGTTCCCCCAATCCTTCCTAAGACCCTTCTCATGTGTCCTCAACTGTGGAAGTGTGTATATTTGAAAGTCAAATTGTGTATTTGTACATTCTCGTCTTGGTTTGAAACAAGCTGTATTTTCCTCCCAGGGCGTGTTTTGAAAATCTCAGGTGCTACTATTCATGGGAAGAGATAAGGAGTTTGTGCCTCTGATTGTAAGACATGCCTTTCTCGGCGAACTGTTTGATCATTCTGAGCCAGAGGGCACCACACACTTCCTACAAAGGGACACAGCTTAAGCAAAACCATCCCTTCATTTCACCTCTGAGAGGAAATGAAACTTGAAGCTTCTCTAGGTAGTGCATTTCTGTAAATGAGAAATGGTGTGTGTATTTGGTTGCTGACTTTAGAAGTTCAAGATAGCACATTAAAAGATTTAAATTTGGCAGAGAGGTAATGGGCTTGTAATCCCTGTGTGGGACACCCCCCTGTTTAAAAGAAAATAATATCACAAGAGCCACTGCACTTTTAAAAGTCCTTGGTGTTAACTGTTTGAAGAAATGGGGAAGTGGTAGGGGCCGAGAAATTTAAGTTGGGTTGGAAGTCCCATCTGTCTTATAGGCACATTCCTTTTGAGCTTTTCTCCCATTTTCTAGTTTGTGATTTCTCCCCATGATATTGTAATTTAAGTGCACTACCTAGAAGTAAATTCTGTTCAGACCAACAGTGTACGCTTCCAGGGAAAAGCAATTTGAATTGGAGTATAATTCATCTAATTCATATTTTAAAGCAATTTGGGGTGTTGCGTGGTTTCCGGGCTGTATGGCTATGTTTAAGGAGCATTTTCTCTGGTGTTTTGCCTGCATATGTTGCTGGCATCCTCAGATCCTCTGAAGATTTTTTTTTTCATGTCAGGAGCAACTTGAGAAACTGCAAGTCACTTCTGGTGTGAGAGAATTGGCTGTCTGCAAGGATGTTGCCCATGTGTTACCATCCTGTAGGAGGCTTCTCTCATATCCCCGCACAACAAGCTGGTGCTGACAGACGGGAGTTCACCCCGTTGCCCGGATTCGACTGCTGAACTCTTTTGTTCAGCAGTCCTGCTAGGACGAGTGTTTCACCCATTGCACCACCAGATGCTACAGATGCAGGTGAAATGTCAGGAGAAAATGCTACTAGAACACAGCCATACAGCCTAGAAACCACACAACACTCCAGTGATTCCAGCCGTGAAAGCCTTCAACAATACATTAAAGCAATTTGCTACTCACATGCCTGGATGCCCACCCATTGTCTATATAGATATCTTGTCACCTATTACCTTCTCTGTTGCAATTGCATCTAACAGATGCAATCTTTATTTGAGATACTTACTGCTAGTCTAAAACATTTTACCCTTATGGGCAACAAATCTCTCACAAAGAGAAATGATCCCGTGTGTTTATTTTTTTAATCTTTTCTCCAAAGAGCTATGGAACAGAAACACAAATCAATTTGCTCACTCCAAATCTCTAGTCATATTGAGGAGAAGAGCAAGACAGCCAACTGAAAAGTATTAGAAGGCACTAGTAGTACAATTCCACAGGGAGGGCAGGGCTCGGTGCTTATTTGGATACTCTGTTGTAACATGCAATAGAGATGGGTCCAGTGATATGTGAGGTTAGCTGTTGAGTCTAATTTTCTTGCATCCACTTAATCAGCTACAAAAATAAGACGGAGCAGTATTTTATGTCAACAGACACATGCAGTTATGTCAGTCATTGCATGGTTTTCCCTTTTAAATATGTGAAAACTATGGAAAAATCAGGAAAAATGCATAACTTTGCAGCTGTCAGCCAAAAGGGTTTTAAACACTAAGAGTATCTAGAAGAATAAGAACTGTCTCCATAGCCAAACATCTGTTAATGTATTTATTTTTAGTCCAGAGGTCATAGTAACCCAACCATGAAATGGAATACCAGTTTTGGACTCCAATTTGGAAATAACCAATCAGACTTATATCTTGGTATCCAACAATTGAATAGTCTGTCAGTATCAGACTTCCAAAAGAGTTCATGTAGTTGTTTTCAAATCTAGATGGTGGCCGGTATGGGTCCTTGGCAGGTAGGGCACTGGCTTTAGAATAACTTGTTACTGGTACTGTTGTCCGTCTCTTCCCCGCCTCCCTTCTTGCCTCTTTTAGTCATCTTGTCCCTGGCTCCTAGTTGACATATTTGTTTCAGGTTTTGTATGGTTTATTAGAAAAAAGACTGTAAAATACCACTTAGACACTTTACCTCTTCAGTATGCAAATGTAAATACATGTAATATAGGAAAGAAATCTTTTGTTTTAATATAATAAAGAGGCTGTCCAATTTTCTGTTGTACATTATTAAAGGTTTGTTTTTATTCACGTTGGCTCTGTGATCATTTCTGTTCTGGTTTATTCCTGCCAAGTGGATGGCAACAGATAACAAAGATCACCAGATCTCCTTTCAAAAAGCAAATACCCAAAGGAGGATACAAACAGAACTACAATGTATCTGTCCTGCTTATAGTGACTGGGTTAAGATTCTTGCTAAACTGTTTTGTGGCTGAAGAAACAGGTCCTCTTGTGAGGAAAAAGGCACCAGAGTTTTGGGGTATGCAGTGGGCCCTTGGCATGCACTGGGATTTGGTGCCAGGATCACTGTAGTGGTGTAGTAAAATTACATATCTTATTTAAATGACAAAATAAAAATGTGTGTGGGGGTTGTTTTAAATATTTTCAAGCTGTGCATAGTTGATGAAGAATTCAAGGATGCAGAGAAATTTTTTTAACACCTACGTGCACTTTGGACATTATCCACAAGCAAGGAAGGTGAAGCAACCAGTGGAAAGCACTAAGCATTTGTTCTTCCTGCAACAGTGCCTGGTGTGCATCCTTTCCATATAAGTGCCTTAAGAACGGACCTGTCAGGAGGAGGTAAGTGTGCAGTGTTTCTCAAACTTTGCTTACATCACACACAGGTTTAATAGTGTTATTGTTGATTCCCAGGCTCTATTGGAAGTCACACATCATACTTGCTCTTGAAAAAAAGAGAATGGATTTTGTATATGGCCCTAGGATTAAAAAGTAAGGATTCTCCTCATTTTGGTGCTGCATAGTTCCTATTGCTCTCCCTTTTGCTTGGTTAATCATGATTAAAGAATGTTAAATAAATTACTGGAGGGAGTGCTGAACGTGTTGCAAATGGAGAACATCAAAATAGATAAGCCAGAAGTGAAACTGCACCACAAATGACAATATAGTCAGCCCTCCATATTCATTGGATTTAGGTTTGAAGGACCACCACAAAAGTGAGAAAACTGAATTTTAAAAAAATCTGAGAGAGTACTATTCGAGGAATCACTGGATCCTCCAATGCAACCCTATTCAGCTGCCAGAAACTGAACATAGAATCATACTGGAAAACTTACAGATGCCTAGCCTACAGAAATGCTTTATCTAGAGACCTCGACATCTTCCAGCAGAATTCTATAGTCAACTTTCTGCAGAGTTGACCATGACATGGTGCTGATGGATCTAGAAAATCTTAGAGAGAATGTATTACAGGAAGTCTCCAAGTTATGAACAAGATAGATTCTGTAGGTTTGCTCTTCAATTGAATTTGTAAGTTGGAACAGGCACATTTTTAAATGCAACTCCTGCCAAATATATATTGGATAGCATAGCGAAGGGTTACCACCTCTGTGGTGTTTATTTTGCTGTCTGTGCCCCTGTTCAGATTTCCCCTCACTTTCTGTTCCTGCGGTAATTGGATTTTGGGGAAAAACATGGCTTGTGGAAACAAGGATTGAGAAAGCTTCACTCGAGTCCCTCCCCTTTTCCCCATGATGACTTCCAGGATTTAATTTCCCTTCCTGGAGATTTCTTTCACTGTTGTCTCACCCCTGTTTTTAACGATGAGTTGTTTGTAAGTCCGATGTGTGTATCTTGGGGACTGCCTATACGCAAATACGTAAAAAAAAAAAAACCCACAAATGAGAAGGGCTGACTACTTTTCCCCGGTGTGGGACTCAGGATGGCTATAAAAAGCTGAAACAGACAGGACTTAAAAATTCGCATCATACAAAAACTAAAAACATTATTAAGATAGAAATAGTACAACATGTTTGGAGGAGGGAGCACTTCCTTTTGGGGTAAATCCCAAATGAATTAAGCCTGATTTTGTTGGGAACAGCAGCACTGCAGGCTGCACCTAGAAGGCTTTACTTAAGATACTGGAAGAACACACCAGAGCATCCAAATCTGTTGGAGAATTGGTCAATTCCTGAATAATAAAGCTCATCCTTACACTTTGATACCCAATACAAAATATTTATAGCGGAAGGCCCTTCTATTCCTGCCAGATACATGAGGCCACCATGAGCTGCAGAGACAGATGTGGAGCACAAGAGGGAGGTGGAGATAAGTAGCTAAATCTTCTGCTCTTGTCAAAGTGTCATATATTTCCACAAGAGGATTTGCAGAGCCAATAACAAGCTTACCCAGCTTCAAGACTTCAGAGTGTATGTAACAAAAATTAAGGATTCTCTCCTCCATGAGTCTAGTTGAATAAAATTTAAGCTATTCTTTGGCATAAGAGGAGGAAACTGCTCATCCAATTTTGTGTGATTAAAAACCTCCCCATGTGAGCAGAGCATGTGGCGAGAAGAGGACCGTCCCAGGCTGCCAACCTAGCCTACACCCCAACCCGCTTTTATCCTTTAACAATATTATAGTGTCTTACCTACCTTTAAGAACCAGCCAAATTGAATTAGGGGGTTAATTTGGCCGTGAACTGGGAGGTTACCATCTGGGCCTCAATACTGTGTCCTAAGGGGAGTTTTTTTCCGCCCCAAACAACCTTCAGTTTTCATTTTCTGTAATTTTAAGGACTGGGTGATGCTGGTAGATCAATTAGGCATTGCTTCAAAACTACCTTGTACTCAGATGTACACCATATTTTATCATACCAAATATTATAGTAAAATTGATTTATTGACAGATTTCGGTTCTCTATTTCAATTTCTAGCAACATGGAATCAAGAGGGAGTGAATGGGATTTCCAAGGACTTTAAGTCTCTCTGTCGGAAAACATAGAAATTGCCCATTTTATGCCAGAAAAAATCCCAAAAATTAAAAGTGTATGACTTCTTGTTTCTGCATGTGCGTATGCATGATTGCACCCTACCACCCATGACCTTTCTCATTAGAGTACTAATATTACAGCATTACTATTCCACTTTAATCTGTGTAGGCTTTTGTCTCATTTATTTTAATATTTTTGTCTCTCATATATATATATATATATATATATATATATATATATATATATATATATATATGAGGTTGTATTTTAATTATGTTTTAACATGTGCTTTTATAGATGTATTTGACTGTTGTACCCCACCTTGAGCTGAAAGGAGGGGGGTAATTAAACATTATTATTTTAATCCTTCCTTCCTTCCTTAGGCGATGTCTTGTACCCAAGGATGATGGTCCTCCAAGTGTAGTGTCTTGGTGGTAGGTCCATAAGTGGCTGTGGAGCCCTATTCTTGATCCACATGTTCTCCCCCAGTGAGGACATCGGTTTCCAGGTGGAAGGTAGTCTCGGTCAGGGTTGGCTTGATGCGCCTTCCTCTTTGCCTCTTTGAATTCTGCAGCACTGCTCGTCACAGCTGACCTCCAGTTAGAACACACAAGGGCCAGGGCTTCCCAGTTCTCTGAGTCTATGTCACAGTTTTTTAAGGTTGGCTTTAAGCTTTAACTATTATTATAATAGCTATTATTATAATAGTTATTATTAGTTTCCCAGGAGAAGCTTGTTTTCTTCTTTGTTTATGTCAAGCGCCTTCTAGTTTTTTCTCACTTGATGGCAATGCTAATGATAAACTATCACAGACGTTTCTGGGGCTGAGAGTGTGTGACTCACCCATGGTTACCTACTAAGTTTCCTTGACCCTGCTGGGAATCAAACGGTGATCTCCAGAGTCATAGTCCAATGTTCAAACTACTACATCATGCTAGTGGCTCTTGTTAGGTCATTCCATACCAACATGCCTAGCATATTGACTAGTTCTACAGATTATCAGCGACAGAGGTGAATTACTTTTGCTTTCCCCAACTGCAATAGGATTTCCCTGAGCAGAAATTGAAGCCTCCAGTACTCAAAAAACCCAAAACTTTAGAATTAAAGGAAGAACCATATTTAAAGCCTCTGTTGCAATTCAACCAAACAAGCCTCTGCTTTTTGCAATAATGTTCTGGTAATAAAATTTGAGCATCTTAACACAAACACTCCTGTGTTGGGACTCTTAACTACTTCCTTTTAAAAACTGGCAAGGGAATGTCAAGGGAATCCCTCTGAATATATTCCAAAGACAACTCCATCATAGGAAAACATGCATATCTCACGTCATTCGGGAGGTGACTTCCAAAATATAAAATGCCAGGCAGGCCCTTGTCCACTCTTCCTACAGCTGCTAGCCAACCGCTAGCCGGATCCCATTTCTTGCATTTGTTCTTAACTGAGAAGTATTTGGGTGCTACTAATGAGTTTACTCTTTGCTAAAAAGTAAGACCAGTTGCTGACCCTGAGCAAACCAAAAGGAAAGCATACAGCATTTGTTCTAGTTCCTAATCCTGCTACAGGAAAAGCCAAGTTATCCACACTCTAGTTAAATGTGCAAGAAAAAATCATATTCAGCCTCTTTCCCGGAGTCCCCCCGTGGTGCAATGGGTTAAACTCTTGTGTCGGCAGGACTGAAGACCAACAGGTCAGAGGTTCGAATTTGGGGAGATCACAGATGAGCTCCCTCTGTCAGCTCCAGATCTCCATGTGGGGACATGAGAGAAGCCTCCCACAAGGATGGGAAAACATCAAAACATCTGGGCGTCTCCTGGACAATGTCCTTGCAGGTGGCCAATTCTCTCACACCAGAAGCAACTTGCAGTTTCTCAAGTCGCTGCTGACATGCAAAAAGCCTCTTTCCTGCCCATCTTTGCCTGTGCATGTACAAAACCCAGAAAGCTCCAAAAAGTATGATTTCTTATTACATATTGATTTCTCATATGTTGTATTTCTGTATTTAGCCAATTTGCACTATTTGGAAAGGAAGAATATCATGTTACATTTGGATAAAATATAAACATATCAGTCTCAACGCAGTCTGAAAGCTGATGTTTCAAACCTGTTCAGAAATAGAAAGGCTCATAAGTTTGTCGTCATTGGTTTTTTAAAAAATATTCCTATACCTCCCCCTGCTCCAGAAGGCAGGGACAGATATATCTGTGATTTCATCATTTTTATATCTTTGTGGGAAGACAGATCAAGTAAGAACTGGTGTTCTGCTTATTATTTACATGCGTCATCCATAGTCATCCACAGT